GCTGCAGTTTTCCCACTTCCTGCCTTATGTGTATGTGTGTGTGTGGTAGGGGTGAGGTGCAAACACCAGGGCCTTCATTTTTTAGGCTATGTTTTTGAGCGCTTATTTAAACATTTTTTCTTTAATTTCAAAATAGGCAAACACATCTTAAAATTTCTTCTTACACAAAATGGTTTGGAAAAATGGTGACTTTTTAGGCCAAGAAACAGCCTAAATTGAAATGAAGAGTGGTTCTGCTTCCAGTTTTATTCTTTAATTTTAAATGCCTCCATCCTTATTGCTCAGGCGAGGGGGGTAAAAAAGAAAAACAAAATATCTCTAGAATGTTTGGTGTTTCTGTTATGTCTGAATCTTTTTTGTGACTTCATAGTTGGTTGCCATGGGGAGAACTGTGATGTCACAAGCAATAGAGATTTCAATTTCATGCACAGACTTCAGATGAGAATAGCCAACAGGAGCAGACTGTTCCCATGCCAATGCCCCCAGTAACACAGAGCAAAGGGAGGGAAATAAAGAACTGGTTCTAACTGGGGACTAGCAGTCTCCTCATCTGATGCCAACCCACTGCCCCTGGCTCTGCTCAGTGCTAACCTACCCAACGCTACCCCTGGCTCTGCTACCTATCTCTACAGCAAGCATGGGGCTGCTGTGTCCTCCTGGTCCCCAAGCCAAGCCCTGTAGGAAGATCGTTCCACTGAGTGCCCAATTGAGTTGGTGTCCTGAGCTTCCCTGCCCAGCCCTGACAGCTTCTCCAGGGGTCCCAACATTGTCCTGATGCCCCTGCTCCCCGCGGGTGCTGGCAAATGGCCCAAGTTCCACAGCACTTAGCTTCCCAAAGCCCTGCTGCTTGGGGATCTGTGCAGTGTAGTCTGGGCTAGATCATCCATGTCTAAGAGTGACCCTGGAACCCAGCCCCACCAGAGAATGCAGGGGGACCAGAGCAGTCATGGTGGACAAGATGCAGCAGGGCACCTTCTACAGGCACCTGAGGGAGGCCTCTGCTCATATTGACAGTAAATATGTCTCTAGTGGAAATCCTGTTGAATCTGTGCTTTCCTAGCTGGTTTATTCCACTCCCTCCTGAGAGCCTGAACCTGGGCTGGCAGTGTAGGGATTCCATCCAAACTGGGGGCCTTTCTGAGATGGGGATACATAGCTCTGTCCTGGTGTGAGATAGATGGATCTGAGGCTAACACTGTTACTGAAAAGGCTTTTGGAACAAACATGCAGCAGGGCTTTCACCAGAAGGCAGCAGAGGGGCAGAGAACAGGCTACAGTTTGGGGTATGGTAACTACTGAGGGGTCAAATGGCTGGTCAGGATGCAAACCCATCTCTCCAGGCTCATGCTGCTTGTTCCTAGCTACAAAGGTACCATTCAAGAGCAATAGGCCTGACCCTGCCTGAACCTAGCAGTTCTGGTAAATACAATGTCCCAGGGCCTGCCACTCCTTCCTGCAGCCTGCTGGATTCCTCCTTTGTCTGGCTCCCATCCGCCTCATGCCCTCTCCTTCCTCTTCCCACCCAGACTGCAAGTTCATGTGCCATTATCGTTGCCGTGCCCTGATCCGCCTGGACTGCAGCGGCCCTCGATACCAGGACGACTCATCTGAGGCCAATGAGCAGACAGTGGAGAAAGACACCAATGTGGTAGGAGCGTGGGTGGGGGTTCTGATTTGTGCTTGAAGGCTGCAAAGTGCAATGAGTTTTCTTATACCAGAAGCAGGACAGAGAAAGGACTGGAGCAACTGGGTGCTTCCCCCCATCCAGCCCTCATGCCCAGACCCTTGCAGTATCTTTTGTTGGAAGAAGGTGAGACTGGAGTAGCTGGGAGGTCTCCCCACAGCCAGAGCCCCTGCCCTGCTCCCTGCATCATCTCCTCCTGGGTAAGGCTGCTCCTAGAGTTCTCGGAGCCCCTTTCCTTGCTGAGCGTGTTACCAGCTCAGGATGGCGGTGCTTGGAGGTTCTGCCCCTCCTCTGCACAGTCATTAGCAGCACTGGGTTGAGCTGGTGCTGAGGGCAGTGCATTGTAAATCTTGTCTTGGCAAGGGAGCCAACTTCAATTTAATCTTGAAATTGTGCCTCTGCTTTCCACACCTGGGACCTCTCTCCTAATGCTTCCCCAGGGGCAGGTCAGCAGTGGGGAGCAAGTGAGGCCCATCTGGGAGAGAATATTGCCAATTAACTCAGTGCCACAGCACTGGGGCAGCTGCTTTATCACCTAGCAACAGGGCAAGTAGTGAGTACCCACCATCCTGCTGTGGATGCCTAAGGGCCTGGGATTCCCATCATCCCACTCACTGGCTGGTGCAACCATTACATGTTGCCATCACCCCCACCCACCTCTTCAGGCCCCAGCTCCCCTAAGCCATGCAAACCAGCTGTCACTTCTGCCACACTATCACAGACCCCAAGTCCCCTCCCCTCCCCTCCACAGACCTGCTATCAGCCCTTCCAGGAGCATGGAGGGAGCAGGGATCTGGGAGCTGTGGAGGGTAAACGTCGGTCCAGGGGCTGGAGGGAGCCTCGGAGCTTGGACAGATCCTGCCTTGTATAGGCTCCATTCAGCCCACCTACCTTGTGTTCAAGGTGTCTGTGTGTGAGGGGGTTGCAGTGGCTCTTGACCCATCTCTAGTACTCGGGGAATTTTAAATCAAGCCAGTGTGAAGTGCTATGTCTTTTCAGCTAGAGGGCCAGTGTTTTCCCTTAAAACTCCATCCTCATCCCCTACAAACACCCCTTCTTTGCCTCAAGCCCTGAAGGGCTCAGGAGAGGTCTGGGGGAAGAGAACAAGACCCCTTAGGCTCACGGTAGGAGTAAGTCTCCATGAGACTTTCCTCTCAGGCCCAAGGGCTTCCCTGCCCCGGGGTCTTGGTTTGCAACCTGTGCTAGAGGAAAGAACGAAATTGCTGTTTGAAAGCCGGATGTTGCCACATCTGTTGAGCTACATACTCCCTTCTGTGACCTTGGCCTGCCTGCCGGGGAGCAGCTTGAAAGTTTTTTCAGCTGCTGCTAGTGTGCTTGCAGTTTGAGTGTGGGGCCTGGTTTCTGAAGCAAGAGCATGAGTTGGAGTCTACAAGGGACACACTTGCCAACACAGCCGCCTGCCACCTTCCTGCCACATGGAGATTGCCCGTGTCTCCTTTCCCTCACCTGTTGGGTCTCCTGAGGGAATACAAAACAGGTCCTCATATATTAACAATGGGGGGTTCCTGCAAGGCTGAATTCCAGAGAATCTGGGTCACTATCCAGTAGTGTTTCATCCTGACAGCTTGGACCAAAACTGAACAGGGGGGCTGAACCTCCTGTTTGGGCTGAGCAGCTAGATACTGGTGTAAATGGACTATGGACCTGACCCAGCATGGCAGGACACCAGATATGGGCCACAATGTGGCCCAACACACCTTGTGTTCCTTTGTCTGAATTCTCAATTGCTCTGCCCTGTGCAGGGCCAGATCCCCCTGAGTGTCCCATGCTATTCCCCTTACTGCATTGTCCCCTAAAGGGTTACAAAGGCAGTTGTGCCTCCTCACTTGAGAATGGGAAAGTAGAGGGGCTTAAGGAGACTTTTTAGAACAGGGATGACCCACTTGCTGCATTTGGGCCACAGGTGGCATGGGCAGCCTGTGTGTGGCCTGCAGCAGATCAGGGAGGAAGTAGAAAGCAATGCAGAAGATTGGGCAGGGGGCAGAAAGCAGAGCAGCAAAATGGGCAAGGAGCACAAAGAAGAGCAGCAGATTGGGAAGAGGAAGGGGACTAGGGTGGCACTTCAGATGGGTGAGGGGCTAAATTTGTGGCACCCCTGCTAAAAAAGTTTGTCCCCCACTACTTTAGAATGATTGAATGTTTTTCTGGAGAAAAGTGTTGATGGTCTCATCAGCCTTATAAGCCAAAGTCCTCCATCCCAATAGCAAGAAGGGTGGGCAAGTGGTCAAGCCTCCGGATTGGGGCTTAGGAGACGGCTCAGCTACTGACTCCTTCTGTGACCTTGGGGAAGTCCCTGTCCCTTTTTATACCTTGGTTTCTCCATCTGTGTTGTGCTGAGGTGCTCATATGCTGCTGTGATGAGTGCTACCCAAATACCGCTGAGAAAGGCTTCTCCCCCATCCCTACACAGCACTTGGGTTTCTTGAAACCCCCTCACAGGGGGAAGAGAGTAGCAAGCTCCTCAGGACCCAGCCAGCCCTTGCTTCTGTGCCATGTGGATGTCAGTAAGTACTAAAGCTCAGTGGCGTGGACCCCCTCCCGCACACCCATGTTATGCAGAGGGCTGCCAGGCAGCTGTTGAGACGTAGCAACATAAGCTCTGGCTCCTTGTGGAGCTTAGCCCATGTTTCTTAGGAGCCTGGACAGTGGTTAGTGCTGTCAATCCTGACTGGGCTGTAGGTACAGCAGGCAGTAATGAATAATCCAGCCAGCTTGGGTGGATTGGAGCTGTCCTGGAGAAGTTGTCTCTGATAAGACCATCCCTGCCTGGCCTGCTGTGAATATTTGTTCCAAGATTAGGTAATGTTTGTTTCATAAGGCAGAGCTGGGCATGACCGAGCTGTGGTTGTCTGGGTTGAGTTCAGTCTCCTCCACAGAAGTTAGCACGGCCGCCTCAGGGTGACCCAGCCGCTCCCCTGGGGGCAGAACAGCCTCATCAGGCGCTGGGGAGACACGATGTCTGACACCCAGGTCCATGCACCTCTCAGACACTGGGCTGATTTTTTTGAACGCTTGAGCCGGTGTCCAGGCCAGGCTTGCTCGTGGGATTTGGGGCAGTGCGGGGCAATCAGAAATCCTTCGGTTCCTGCATCCCTGGCCGTGGCTCTGCAGTGGCTCAAGCCAGGGCGCGTGTGGAAGGCGGGGCCTGTGCCCAGGGCAAGAGGAGCGAGCCAAGCCTGGCGGTGTCCCGGGGGCGGGGCCCAGAGGGGCGGGGCGGGTGCCTGACCCGCCCCCCGTGTTGAGGCGGTGCCGGGCGCTGGGGGGGGGCTCACTCCCAACGGTCGCGGCGGCTGCGATGCGCGAGGGCGAGGTGGCGGCGGCGCCGGCGGAGGCGGCCTGCTTCGACATGACGTGGAGCAGCACGGCCAGCAGCGGCTACTGCAGCCAGGAGGACTCGGACTCGGAGCTGGAGCAGT